CTGTGCCTTTAAGATTCTTCTAGATTTTCTTTTGCTAATTCAGGTTATTTCTTATGGAGTTGATGAGGTGATGCAAGGTTTTAAAACTGGTTTATTTAAAAGAGTTGATACAATAAAATACGTTTAAAAAATATCCTACAGCTTACAAGAAATTTGCTTTCAAAATTCAAATGAAAACAATGTGTTTGGTGGGATACTTTGCCGCTTGCAAAATGTGACTGTGGCATCAAAGCAAGACCGCATTTAAAACTACGGTAACATGTAAATTCTGTCGGATATAATGCTTCAAAGATGGAATTATTGGTCCCATATAATGAGTGTGTGTTAAATACTTGTCCGATAGATCATTGTTCGTTACAGACTGAATAAGTTTTAGGTTGTCGTTATAACACTGGTGACAGAAACGTACGCATATGCTGCAAACGAAGAACTGGGCACAGTTTTCATTCCTGGTGCGGCTTTCTCGCAAATGGACGTGGCCAAATTGGATAGCGATATGGCAGTGGGTGACTCCGTCATAGTCTCCGTTCGTTCGCAAGCACCGAGACGTGGCTGTAATTGGATTGCTTTAACAGCCAGCAAATTAAGCCCATTGAATTTCCCTCCAACTGTCGATAATAACGTCAATCATATCAGAATTCAACGAGGTAGAGTCATTTATCGGAGTGATTGTCTTCATATTGTGCTTCCCAGATGGACAGTTCAGTTGGTCAAACATTCTGGTGTTCTTAAATTCGCGGCTTGCATATAAAGCAGTGAAGTACACTGAGATAAAGAGTGGCTCTCCTTCCCTTATGAATGAGCGTCAAGTTCACATTTTCATAAAGGAAAGAATATGGAAAATTGAGCTGGAAAAAGGAGGTTTAGAACATTGTATCGATGGACAAAGGAGGAGCAAAATTAAGCCAAAGGGATGAAACGGTATAAAAATGAGAAGAGAAAAAATCTGCTTATTACATCAAAAACCCAGGCTGGAACGCACCAGGCGGGTCGGTGACATACTGGTCCTCGAAGTTCAGGAAGTTAACTGTGTAACTGTGTAGTCTGTCAGTTGTAGATGTCGACTTCAATGACCTACAAATGGAAAGTTGATGGTTCGCAAAAAAGGCCGCACTAGAAGAGTTAAATTTGAAATCTTTTAGCCGCACATGA